GGGAAAAAAAAAAAAAAAAAAAACACACACACACACAAGCGTAGAGGAGGCCGAACTACTAATTTGAAAAACTACGTCGAATGCCGCCAACCGCGTGAAAATCGGTACGTAATTCATTCAAAAGTTATTGCGGTTTAAAAATTCAAAAAATAGTGTTTTATTAAACTTCTATCAGACTTTTGAACTCAGAGAGCTCAAAACTACACGAAAATTATATTTTTAAGCTCGAAGAGCTCAAAAACGCAATAAATGTAATTTTGAGCGCTTAATTACGAAAGTAGCGGGAAGTTGTAGGGATGGCCTTCAGGGTCAACCGTTTTCCTAATTTTTTTTTAATTACTTTTAATCGGCTCTACCGATCAATTCAAAAAAACTAATCAGCTCTTAACATCAAAAAACACGTCGATCGCCGCCAGCCCGGTCGAAATCAGTTGATTCGTTCGTGAGTTATCATTGTCGAAAGAAAACCGAAAAAAGTTTTTTTTTGGAATAACTTCGAAATTTCTTGTTCGATCATGTAAACTTAAAGATTTTTAATGAGACCTAAAAAACTACATCGAATACTGCCAACCGCGTGGAAATCGGTTTATTCAAAAGTTATTGCGATTTGATTTTCAAAAAATAGTGTTTTATTAAGCCCCTATCATATCAAATTTTCGACCTTGGAGATCTCAAAATGACACGATATTGATATTTTTGAGCTCATAGAGCTCAAAAACGTAATAAGTACAATTTTGATCGCTTAAGATGGAATTAGTGGGAAGTTGTAGGGATGGTTTTTAGGGCCAACCGTTTTCCTAATTTTTTTTTTTAATTCATTATGATTTCTACTTTCATTTAGGCTGTCAAATGGCCTTTTATTGTTATATTTGTAATTATATTTAAAATATATACGAAAATCGAGCGAAAAATAAATATTGAAAAGAACATTTTTATGTATATATTTTATATACGCTTGAGTATAATTGATTTATTCTTTCATACTTTATAATTCAACATACATTTTTGATAAAAAATTTTCTTCATGTGAGACTATAATTAATTTTTTAAAACAATACTTATACCACTCATATTTCCAAATCACTGTCGGAAATATTTTGGAGCACAAAAAAGGCAGGATGGGACTGACATAATTATAAAACGCTATGGAGAGTTATTTCACGCTTTTGTAATTAAATTCCGTCCACCCGATTCAATTGCGTTAGACATTACCTCAATGAGAAAAAAAATTAAGGAAAGGAGTTATTAAATTTTCATTTAATTAATGTGCTCTCGGATTTTTTTATAAAAGTTTCACTCTATTTGTTACTTAATTAATAATAATGTCAATTAAAAAAAAAAAAAAATTTATTTTGTACTATTAATTTTTGGGTTATCATTTTCTTTAATAAATTTATTGCAAATTTTTATGTATAATAAAGTACGCTACTTGTTAAATATGAACTATTACAAAATTTATGTGTTATAGCTATTAATTTGATCAATTGCACTATAAGTTTGTACCCGTTCAGGAAAAGGAAACATTTAGTCCTTCAGCAAAAAGAAAGTCGAAATACCAAATGATTCATAAAAACAGTCGGTAAGTAAAAAAATAATAAAAATGCGTAAGAAATTGCTTATGAATGCATTGCTGCACCAACTGAGCAAAAGTAGTTTTATAGTAATTAATGTATATATAGTACATAGCGTTTTTAATATTTGCGTGTAGCATACGTTCGATTTCACCTCTAACTAGCCTGACGGGAAATATCCAGCTCATACTCATAACAATTATTGTGTAATGGCTGGGTAATTGATGTTTGTTATTCTATTTTTGTAGTGTTTAAACAATGTCAGGCCATAAATGTCTAATTGCATGAGAGTCGAAGTTAAGAAAGTTAATTTTTTTATGAAATTTTTTTATGGTTATTGTTAAAAAATGGAATTCACCCTCATATTCAAAAACTTTTTTTCACCCGGCCGCGCCGATGCTAAAATACAACAGCAGTCGCGCGGAACCCTATTTTTAACATTAAATAAAAATGATTGTTTTTGAAGCTAGAGTTTCGGGAGTCGAGACTTTTTTTCAGAAATTTTCTCCTCTTTTAGAATCTTTTCTCCGATTTTTGATATCACCTATAGTTATTGAGTTATTCACGGAAAACTGAGATTTTTTATTTTGTTTATTTTTTTTGTTAATAATAAATTGAAATTTTTATCAAAAAAATTAAAAAACATTATTTTCAGAATTTAATTCCGCATCAAATAAGTGGTTGTTCATATTTTTATCACAATTTCTAAGACTTTTCTCAACAAATTTACACAGGATTCTCACAAAAATTTCCTGTGACACAACCGCTGATCCACAGACAATTGATCCGCATGATTAGTAATCTACCCGACAATTTATCCTCATGACAATTGTCCCGAGTATCGAATAAACACACACAAAATCCATGATATAAGGGCACAACACGGTAACATTGTCCAAAAATTAATCATGGATCATTTGTCGTGCGGTTGAATTTTTGGGTGGATCAATCGTCCGTGGATGAAATGTCGTGGACCAACGTAATCAGATAATTATTTTTTTTCTATCAACGCTTGATATGAAATTATAAAAAAATAAAAAATTGCATTAAGGTTATTAGTGAAAACTTATTGTATACTTAAACTTTACTTTGATTTAGGTATGACACGAGTTTTTAATTCATGCACATTTAGATTTACAAATTTTTTTTTTCTGGTCAACTAGTTTTAAAAATTGTAATTTTTTTACTAATATTTTAACTACATAAATTTTAACACATTTTTTATCGATAAAAATTTACCAATAATAGAAAAATTAATGAAAAATATTCATAGTAATTTAAGAAGATACAAATGTTAGTGTAAAAAAAATCATTTACACTCTTATATTATTGATTTATTTAAATCCTTATTCACTCCAATTCAACAGAAGTGAACAGAATAAGCCTTTGTAATATTGAGTTAAAATTTACTCTGTTAGATGGCAGCAGTTTGTTGCATTATAACCATCTGTCAGAATGTGATCTTTTGACTACAAAACCGCAGTCGATCACAACAGTGACTGTTGAACAGTCAGTTATATGTAACATTGTTCATCCCCTGATAGCCAAACCGGTCGCAACTTTCCGTCGATTTGCTGCCGCAACTTGTCACCAAGTTGGCGGCAAGTCTTGGAAATGAACTCGGTTGTTCACCAAGTTGTCGCCAAGTTGTCGGCAAAAATTGTTTTCGAAACTCTTTCGCACCAAGTTGACGACAAGTTTCTCGAGAAATTTGGCGACATATTGCGGCAGTAGATTGGTCTTGTTTTTCTCAGAAACTTGTAGCCAACTTGACGCCAACAGTTTCAAATTCGGAAGTTGACCGCAAGTTGTCGGTAAGTTGGTGGCAACTATCTGACACCAACTTGGTTGGTCTGAAACTGTAGCTATCAGGGTACTGTTACCATTATATAAAACATCATATAAATAAGAAATCCAAATAAATTGGAAAAAAAATTTACAGCCTCAAAATACCGTTCTGCTTACGGTAAATACACACTTGGTTTTTTATAGGTTGTATCAATTTTTTTTTGGTTTCTTACAATAATTTTATTTTTTCTTAACAATAATAGTTTAATTTTTTCTCTACTATTTCTATAAGGCGTGTAGAACTAGAATTACAGTATTAACCCGGAAAAAATGTTTGAATTCGCGCTTCGCGACAAGTAGTGTCACCTGCTGGACGCAATCCAAAGTATCACATAGTTAACTCGTGGTTCGCCCCTAGATATCTAGTCTGCGGCACAAACTATCCCCTTGAAACTACAGTTTATGTAGATATAATTACAGTGCACCCTGGCGGCCGTAAATGGAAGCTGTGAATACTTTTTTTAACTGTAGTTGCGTATCTATAGGAGGAATACTACACATTTTTATTTTATCTAGTCTGTGGCGCTGACTTTTACCCATCGAAAAAAAGTCAGGATCGAAAAATGTGAGCGCGCTATAGTATGTGCTGATAAAATTTAATAATTTCAAGTAAATAAATTGTAATAAGTGAATATAAATGAATTAATACGGTAAAATTAATTATGACCCTCTGTTATAATATACAAATTAGTGAAAAAAAGTACGGTATAATTAAATAAAATTATACAACCTCAAAAAACTGTTCTGCTTACTGTAAATACATTCGGTAGTCTGGCGCTCCGTTTGCAACGGGATTTTTGAACGGAACTTGGCGCCAGATTCTACCGAATCTGTAGATTAAAAAATGAAATAATATTTATTTAGTATTACAATAATTTTTATAATTAATATTAATATTATGATCATTATTTTTATTAATATTATTATTATTATTTATCGTAATTTCATTTTTGAGTTTTCTAATTTTCGCGCCATGCTATTTTTTTAAATAAAGCATTTCCGGATGCACCCACGTTCGTAAATACTTTATCTCATTAAATATGTGGCGCGATCATTTATAAATTTAAATATTTTTAATACGTATGTTCTTATATTATATCATCCACTAAGAAGATTGTATATATAAAAATTAATAATCAGTGTAAATTTAAATTAATTTAAAAAAAAAAATTAATTTTTAATTAAAAATAAAGAAGACTATCTATTGTTAATGCATTTTTATATTAAAGTAGGTAAGTTTTTAAATTAATTATAACTAAAAAATACGATTAAGTAATATTTAATAATAATATGTAAATAGATAAAAAAATAAAATTAAAAAACGTTATTGTGTACAAATTTCATATAGTATACACATAAACATGCAAATATTTTGTTTTTTTATAAAATTAAACTGAATGAAAATGCCGATAAACAAATTCAAATGAATGTCACTTTTGTAAATAAGTAAAAATCAATTGTAATAATAATTGTATAAATTAATTTATAATTAAACATCTTTTTATTTCTATCTACGAAAATGGGAAAGTATTTATTATTTTATTAATCATATAACAGACGTCTACTACTTATAATCAAAATATTTATGATCAATAATAAAATAAAAGTAAAAAATTTTTTTTATTTATTAAATTTAGATGATATTAATGAAGAATCTACGATTGAAGAAGATAGTGATGAAAATGTTATTGAAGAAAATGCTACCGGAAAAAATGCTATTGGAGAAAATGCTAATGAAGAAAATGCGAATTTAAAATTGAATGAAAGTTTCAAGTCACATGAAGAATTACAAAAAAGAATAGAGGAATATCAAAATTATTCAAATTGTATTTTTTACACAAGAGATTCTATGACCATCGAACGGTGTCGAAAAAACGGTGTAAAAAGACCTATTGATGAAAATTTGAAGTATTACTTTTTAAAATATAATTGCATTCATGGCGGAAGAAATTTTAAACCAGCAGGAAGAGGAGAGAGGTCGTCAAGTACCTTCCAAAAGGAATGCCCAGCTACATTTCACGTTAATGTGAGTGATGATGGAAAACGGTTGTTCATATCGAGAATGGACTTACATCATAATCATCTTACGACAAAACAATTGTATAAACACTTGCCTCAAACTCGACGGATGACTCCAGAAGTTAAAGAAAAGGTTAAGGAACTGATAAACTTAAAAGCCAATAAAACGGCAATTAAAGATCTAATTATAAAACAAACTGGAAAAGTTGTATTATTAAAAGACATCCATAATTTAAAGTACACTGGGGAAAAAAAATCAATTAGAAGCTGTAAAAAATATTTTAATAAACGATTATCAAGCGGATTGTAATTTTCTCATTGAGGATAATATTTTCAAAGGTCTTTTTTTTGCTACACCGCAAATGAAATCAGCCATGGAATTTTATCCCGAGTACATTGGAATCGACGCAACATATAAATTATTAAATATTAGGGCTCCTGTTTATTTATATATAGTCGAAGATCCTAATGGCTGTACCAAAATTGCGGGGGTATCGATTTTAGTTAATGAAGACAAACCGAGTATTACATGGATGATGAATTGTTTTAAAGCATGTCATCCTTCATGGAAAAAAATTAAGTGCATTATGACAGATAAAGATCTGACGGAAAGAGCCGCGATTCGTGACAGTTTGTTTACCTTTGGAAGTGAATCTGATTATGTGTGCATTTCATACACTCAGAACTTTTAATAGAGAAATCACTATAGAAAAAAGAAACATAACAGCAAAAGAAAGGGATGAAGCTAAAAGAATTCTTCAGGAGATGGTGTATGCAAAGACCGAAGAACGTTATTTTCAATTGTATGAAGAACTCAAAAAAATGCCGCAGTCAATCGTGGAATACTTCGATAAAAACTGGCATGAATGTCGAAAAGAGTGGTCTCTATCTAGTGATTACGTGCAACACAACTTTGGGAACGGTACTAATAATCGATTGGAATCATTAAATGCGAAAATAAAAATAGATGTAGATAAATATCTGTCATTGGAAGATTTCGTGAGACAATTATTAATTTGTACGGAATGCTCTCAATTAGAGAAAAATCACAAAGCAGCCAAGTCGTACCAAAAACAAAAAGTTCTCAGTTTTTCTAAAGATTCTCCAGAATGTCGTTATTCTCAATACGTCACAAATTATGCATTTAATTTCATCAAAAAAGAACTAGAGAAAATGCATAAATTGGAATTAATTTACAATGAAAATTTAAATGTTTATCAACAAAATTTAACACCTACTGGCATAATATCTACGACATCTTCATCATGTGACTGTTTAGAGCGCACGTCAATGATTTTACCATGCAGGTAAGTTAATTTAGTATATTTATTGTTTAGTTTTATTATTTACAATTTTTTTTATCTAATTTAGACACATATTTATGGTGAGAAAAATTGAGAATAAAAATTTATTTGAAGAAAGCCTTTGTGATAAAAGATGGACCAGTGATTATTACTATAATACTCAGAGAGTATTTTCAACTGTGCAAGAAGAAATTTTAATTCCAGAGCCTGTTATTACTTCGACACAATACAAACAAAAAGTTTTATCAGAAAATGAAAAATATAAAAAATCATTAGAAGTTGTTAAAAAATTACCTGCTTTAGCGGCTGAAGTAGGGACTAAATTATTTTTAAAAAGATTTGAAGTATTGGTTAATTTAGTAGAAGCTTGGCAAAATAATCAAGAAGTAGTAATTATAAAAGAATCAAATAAAAATAAACAAACAATTCATCTGGACCCATCAGGACCGAATTCACCTGATGTTACTGAATCTGATTCTGACAATCAAATGGAGGATGATAGAGATTTAAAAGATTCTTCAATTGATGAAAATCTTAATAATTCTATAAATTCAGATAGGAATGAAGACAGTGATTTACAAGAAACTTTCAATGATGAAAATCCCCATTCTCCAAACATTATTGTTCATGAGAATCCGCAAAAAGAAAAAAATGATCTTATAAATTCAGATAGCAATCACGATGGTCATGTACAAGACACTTTTAATGACAAAGATCCTGATTCTCCAAATATTATCATTCATGACATCCCTCGAACAGAACAAATTTCTTTCACAAGTTCCGATAGCAGTGACGTTATTGATGCTCGACAAATAAAAAAACGCCGAACGAGAAATGCGCTGTCGAACAGCTCTGATGACAACAATGATAGAGCCATATTAAGTCAAAGCACTGGATTAAAAGAAAATGAAAAATATATGCCGAATGTATCAACACCCATAGAGCCAACGAAAAAATTAAGTATATTGTCTAATGTTATTGTGCAACCGGCTCTGAAAAGAAGAGGACGACCCCGAGGTACAGATCAAACAGTGATCGGACTTAAAAAAATTATAAAAGATAAAAAATCACTCAAAATGCCATTTATCAATAAATCAACTGAAGATAAGCGCAAAATCATATTGCAATGGTTAGTAAAAGAAGAGGTTATCACATAAATATTTAATAATAAAAAAAAAATATGTGAAAATGATTTAACGAAAAATTATAAAGATCTGCCTTTTTCTATCATTGACGAAGATAATGTCGATTTATCACTAATCAACCGATATTTTACTAAAAACGGATGAAAAAAATTGAAAAAAATGCTTGAACAAAAAAAATTAGATTCATGGGAATGCAAGTATTGCAATTTAGATTTAGAAAAAACCATCGACGAGAATGAACTTAGTAAAGATAAAAAAATGAAGATTAGTATCGGATGCGATTATTGTTTGGAATGGTACCACTTGAAATGTACGGGACAGTTAAAAAAACCAAGAAAAAAATGGTGGATGTGCGATAATTGTAAAAATAGTTCATGTTAATATCTGTGAAGTTAGACCACATGCAATAATTTTTTGATATTTTTTTTAAACAAGTTATAAAAAAAATATTCTACAGATTTGAACATGTGGGAAATTTTTCAATTTGTATTGATATTCTCATTATTATTTAGTTGTTATAAAAAATAAAAAATAATTATTACCTGTGCGCTAATTTTAATATTATTTAATCTTACTTAATTCCATTGTCTTATTTTATTCTTACTTAACAATGATAGCCAATAATTTACGATTTAATTAAATAGAATTGTTTTATTTACTAAAACTTCGAACTATTATAATAATTTTACTTAGTATAATAAAATTGTTTCCATCGTCATTGTATATTGACTAGAAGTAATTTAAAATAGAACTTTACACTGAAAAATTTTCCTTTTCTGAACGATATATACTAATGTTTGTACATGTTTCTAAAACTTGTAGACATCAATTACTCACCTGACAAAAGAAAACTATTATACTTTTATTAAATTAAAATCAACTATTTCACCTTATAAATATTAGCTGTTAAATTAAATTCAATAAAAAATTTTTCAATTTTTTTTGTGGCTCTAAGACAAATAGTATGATTACATTTTGACATTACCATTACACTCATATTACACATGGTTCAGATGTAGTTGAAAAGTAGATCCTAAATTCATTCTGAAATTAAAATCATTAATTTTTAATTTTCTTTTTTAATTTGAAGACTTCCAACAAACCTCATTATTCTCTGTGGAATTTTCCTATATTAATATATTAGTTGACTTCAAATCATTATACATTTTTCTATTTTTAATTATATAAGATTTATGGTAATATAATTGATATTGGATTAAATATGCATGTTAGTATTTAAAATCTTCATTCCAATATTTCGAGACCAAAGCACACCTCACATCACATGCCTCAAATTGTATGAGTACCCTTACCTGCGAATTCATAAAATAATATAAAAATCTTACTTAAAGATAATTGATTATTAATACAAACATTAATTAAATATAACATAATGTAATCATTTACAACTTATCAAATTTTCGTAAAAAAAAATTTATTTGGTGTAAAAAATCCATTATAAGCACTAACTTTTCTTTTAAAATAAATACTTTTATAATTCATTAAAAGAAACACCATAACTTTCAATATTTATTTCATTGTTATAACTATTACCATTGATTACAATTAAAATATTAAATATTTGGTTGAGTAGTTGTATTTATTCTCCACTTACCTCTATAGGTCCTTTTAAAATGTCAATCAAATATATTAGATAATTATTGAAAATGAATTAAATATTTTTATAACTAGTTTATTTTCTATATGGAATGTAGACAAAACATAAACATAACCTCTTCGTGTATGTTATATATCCACAAATTCGGCAGAATTTGACGCCAAGTCCCGTTTTTATCATTTCTTAAATTACCTCTCTATTTTTTTAAAAAGTATAACTCATATATTTGGCTACACTTCCTTTTCAATATTTTTATTTACCTCTATATCGCACCTATGTAAATACACTTATAATTTGGGGCTATTTGCAATATTATATCATTTTGGGAATGTTGGTACTCAATGAAAATCTTCAATATAATAAGAATTGATATATCGGACGAATAAAAATAAATTAATCTCCCGACTATCGGACGAATAAAAATAAATTAATCGTCCGAATATCGGACGAATAAAAAAAAATTAATCGTCCGAATATTGGACGAATAAAAAAAAATTAATCGTCCGAATTATCGGAAGGCTAGCAACAGCCTAAAAAAAAAATCGGGAAGTCATTGGTTCCATGCCAGTTTTCGAAAATCAAGTTTTAATCTGATCTCCACATTTTTAAAGGTCTAGGAAGTAGCTCTTAATACTCTATGAAGATTTCTATCAGGGTGTGTGTGTGTGTGTGTGTGCACAGTAAAAAATTTTTCGTCAAATTTAAGACAAAAACATGTGTTGATGACTTTTTTTACACAATTTGTGTTGAATCAA